TATGGGCGTTTGTAGGCCAACTGCACGCCCAACATGGGCGTGCACTGCACTGCCGGGCGCCCAAGTTGGGCTTTTGGGTTTAAACCCTTTTTTTTTTTTTTTTTTTAAATCAATTTTTTTACATTTTTTTCAGGACGATACGTCTACATTTGAAGTTGATCATACCGATTATTTTACCACTACTCAGTTGTTTGATTCGAAGGATGAGGTAGTGGTTTGGGTGAGGTTCGTTGCAAGAGGTCTTTTTGTGAAAATAGTAAAAAGAAGCAGTCCTAAAAAAAAGATTTTTTTGACTTGTGACCTATTCGGGGAAAAACGAGAATGTCCATCAACTAATCCAGAAGCGCGCCCGAGAAGGACCGGTAGCAAAAAGATAGGCTGTGGTTTTTATATTGTCGGAGAGCTACGATGGGATGATAAATGGGAGGTCAGAGTAATATACGGGAAGCATAATCATGTTCCGATATACAAGTCCGGGCATGGGATGAGTGCATTGTCTCAGGAGGAGGCGAAGATCATTAGTGATCTGTCACAAAGTCATGTGCCGCCCAAGAAGATTTTGGCTAACTTGAGACAAAATGGTTTGGGCCTCGATGCTTATTCAAAACAAATATACAATCAGAAGGCGAAATTGAAAAGACTATCTAGGGGTGACCGTACAGTGATGCAACATTTGATTGGGTTGCTTGAGGAGCATAACTATTACAAGTGGTTCCGTACTGATGAAACTACACATGCAGTTACTGATTTGATGTGGGCTCACCCTCAATCTGTGGAATTGTTAAGTAAGTTTCCGTACGTATTACTACTTGACAGTACTTACAAAACAAATCAGTACAAATTGCCTTTGTTGGAGATTGTTGGTGTTACTCCTGTCGGGAAAAATTTTACTGTTGCAGTCGCATTTTTGCGCCATGAAAATGAAGACCATTACACATGGGTGTTGCAAAAGCTGAAGAGACTTTTCCCCCCTCAGACTCTACCTAGTGCCATCGTGACGGATCGAGAGTTAGGGCTCATAAAGGCGCTAGAGAATGTATTTCCGACCGTACCTCATCTCTTATGTCTTTGGCACATTAACATGAATGTGGGGCGTCGTGCTTCAAGATGTCTCGGCAATAGTAGGCGTCGCGGCACGGCTTTTGTAGTTGGCGTGTGGCAAACTTTGGTAAAATCAGTGTCTGAAGAAGATTTCGCCAGGAATTACACAGCTTTGACGGACGAGTACGCGAATTATCCAGATTTGATTGAGTATCTCCAATACACTTGGCTCGTATACAAAGAGAAATTTGTAAAAGCATGGACGGATCTAATTTTCCATTTGGGTAATACATCGACAAGCAGGTATTTATTTATAAGTG